ATTTGGAACAGCAATTGATAGAAGGAAAAGCCAGGATTCCGTTCCTGAGCGTATCAGGTAACTCTTCATCGTGCTGTCAGGAATGAGAAAGCCGCGATTCCTTGCCTCGTTCTCGGGTGGAGAATAACTGACCCGATAAGTCTCAAGGCCCCCTCCTGCTCCCCCAGTTCCCACCCATGAAAAACAACCGAGAAGAGAAGGACAGATGAAGAAACAGCACAAAACACCTAGAGACTGAAAACCCAAGGCAACAACTACCAATGCAGTGTGATGTGACATCCAATAAATCATTTAATGGAGGAGAGGGAAGAAACGGCGTGAAAGGGCCACCTCAGGTCCTAAGCATTGGTGTGTGCCAAGTCCACCTCGCTCCCTGGACTCTTTTGACCCCCTCAGACACAGGTGGTGTAAATAGCCCCTGATGAACTCTAGGGCCGAGTTCTACGTCAGCCTGACAACAGCCGATTTTACCCTGCACCTTAAAAGGTGGACACAAGCGTTGGGATCCCTAAATCCCAGGCACCCTAGAAAGCCAGTCTAGCAGCCTCGCAGGGCCTGGTACGGGCCCCAGGGCTCTGCTCTCTCTCCTGAAGCCCACAGGTCTCTCTAGTGCTCTTCTCCCCCCTGCCCTGCACCAACCCAGACAGACACTCCAGGGGCCATGAGAGTGCCCAGCAATTGTCACTAAAGTTTGCACATTTTGTCAGCCTTCGAATCCCGCAGTAAAACACCCATCGCATACAATTTGCCCTTTTAGTCTTTGCAGAGGGGACTGATTGGTGGCATGAAGGGCGTGTTGGTGATGTGTAACCCTTGCTGTCATCAAAGGAGACCTCCATCGCGGGGGGAACCCAGTCTACGGTGGACGTCAGATGTCCCCTCCTCACGGGTCCCTCGGCCCCCACCCTGGTACCCCAGGTCGTCCCGTCCCTGAAGACTCCCTCCTCTTTCCTCCCACATTTTGTGCAGAGCAATCCGGCAGCCTGCCTGAGCACGCCCAGTGACTCACTCATCTGCTCTGAGGAGATAAAAGGTGGCTTCGTCCTCCTTTCCCTCTTCAGCAGAGCAGAAGAACTGACCACAGGGGTCTTGGGGCCTCTCCTGGCTCCCCCCGTTTCCACAAGTGAGAAAGCAACTTGGAAGAGACCCACTCCCTAAGTTTAGGCTTCAAACAAGAACCAACAAGTATTGTGGCCCGTTTCTAAAATAGAAGTTCGGGGATGCCTGCTCCCTGCCAGGGAGTGGACGTGACGCTGAGCCGGGGCCTCTCATGGAGAGCTGAGTGACCCCATGGTCCCTTCACAAAGGCTGTCATGGAGGGTCGGTCCCACCTGCCCTGACTGTAGGAGCACTCGATTCCTCCAGCCCGGATTCACATCCTTCCCCTGTGCGCCCTGAACACGCAGGATTTTACTTTGCAGTGAAACGGAGAAATCCAAACCATGAGTTAAAGCCCATGGGAAGCCTGCCCGGCTGCCCCTCGAGGCCGGCCATCCAGGGGCCACCTTTTCTCTGCTGTTGATGGTGGTTCTTCACTGGGCTCGTCCTCCATCCAGGGGACATAGGGCACTGGCAGGAGGCACATTTGGTCACCATGTTGGCCCGGGGGCTGCTGCTGGCATCCTGTGGGCAGAGGCCAAGGATGCTGCCCCACGTCACGTGCACACTGGCCAGGAGAGAACCCCCAGGAGCCAGAGTTGTTCAGTCCAAAATATCCAGAGTGCTGAGACGGAGAAACCTGAATGTGAAAGGCCGTCCGCTCAGCAAATATTCCTTAATGACCATCGGTGCCGAGTACCTTGTGCTAAGACTGGAGACTGCATGTCCTGCTTCCTGACTGCTTTTGTCAGAATCAAACACCCAGCAGACACAAATGGGCCTAGAGTCCTATATTAACTCCTTCACATGTACAGCGCCCTCTCATATAATCTTCACGTCAGCTCTCCAAGGCTTCCATCTCCTCCTCATCACCCCTTCCTTTTTAAACAAATGATAGAGTGAAAGTTCAGAGAGATTGAGTGACTTTCTCAAGGCAATACAGCATCTGAGTTATGCTTCCATATTTATAACCACCACATTCAACTGCCTACCAGCTAAAAACCAATTGTGAGTCACAGCATCCACATCAGAGGTCTGTTACAGAGAGGATTTACTCTACCTCATGTTTTGTATTTAATAATTCCTCCAATAGAGTAGGCTTTCAGCTAGGAATCCCAAGAATGACCTTTGCTCCAGTTTACGGCTTTAGCAATGCTAGATTGTCACTTGAGGTGAAAGAGAAGAGAGAAAATCCAAACAGGGGCCCATGGCTGTAGGGTCCAAAAGGTCAAATTAGTCCCCAGTGATGACCTAGTACCTGGTGCACATGCCCACTGGTTAGGATCAGCCAGCTACGAGCAACCCGGGCAGAGATGCCAGGGCGGAGCTCGGTGCACAGCCAGGGACTGGCTCAGCTGCCCTTCCTGCAGCTGGGAGTTGGCGAGGCATGTTCTCAGGGCTCCCACTGAAAACTTTTAAATGTTCAATAAAACCTGCACGACTCCTCTGCCTTGGAGCCAGCCAGGCGTGCATGTCCTCAAACACCCGCCCTTTGGACAAACAGCACGTCCCAGCCAGCACTCTGAGCTGCCCTTGAGCATCACTTTGTGGTATTAGCTTCAAGGCTCTGAGCGCACCTCGATGTGTGCAGGTGATCTCCGACTCCACCCGCTTCGCCCTAAAAATGTCCCGAGAGTTTGTTTGGCTTCATATTCAAACCTGTGTCTCGGCTTTGCAGGTCCAACCCTCTTGTGTCTTTCTGCAGCCACCAACCTTGGGATAACAAGCCGTACACCCTAAACCGTGTGTCAACATGCCTCTCCAGGTGAGCTCCAAGCCAAGGGCGTGCTCCGATAGTCCTCCCAGGTCCAATGGTCCTCCCATCCTCCTCCCAGCCGAGCAGAGAAGGTGAAGGCCAAGCCTGAACTGCTGGACCCGGTCCATCAGGCCGGCGGACTTCGGATGGGATCTGAAATAGTCATCAGGCAGAGCAGACGGAGGTGAGGGGCCTTCAGGATCCTACCCGAGTGCTCTGTAGGTGGCCGCAGGGCACTTGACTCAGATCCAAGAGAGGCACCTGGCTCCAGGCTGGCACGGTGCCAGTTTCAGAGGGTGAACGCGTCCTGAATGACGGTGTCTGGGCTCAGTTGGTGCTTTATTGTTGTGGGACTCTTTAAAATTAATTCCTCAATGAAAGATGTTGGAAACCTAAGCCTCCCCAACCTCCCTCCCTGTTTTATTTTCAGTCGCAGACACTCGTTCCCCTTGAGAACCTGGAGACTCTTGCTAGTCAGCAAAGGGCTGTTGTAAACTGAATCCCTGAGCAATACCAGGCACAGTACTGAAGCTTCCCCCAGGTCTGCTAGGAAAGCTCAAAACTCCTCATCTCCCTCGACATCCAAGGCTGTGCAGAGCGCTTTGGAAGCAGCGACTTCTCAGGAAGGCACGGAACACAGAGTCTAACAACCGGCTCCCCGAAATGTAATGGGCTAATGCAGTAGGTCTTGAAGTGCGGTCCCCAGACCACCAGCAGCAACAGCAGCAGCAGTACCCAGAAACTTATTAGAAATGCAAATGTTCGACACACCATCACGCAATGAACCAGGAACTGTGGGAATGCGACTTAGCCCTCTCTTTTAATAAGTTTGGAAAGTGATTCTCATCACCACCAAAGTTTGAGAATCTCTGTGTTGGGGACAAAGACTGTATTTTTCTCCCCATTAATAAACTAGAATACAAAACCATTTGCTCAATTATGTAATGATCCTATTGTGCCTTGTCATAGTATATGTGTCCAGATACTTATTGAATTACTACTATGTGCTGGGCTGTACACTAGGTGTAGGAGGTTGTGATGGTAAAGAAAAAGAGATGTTCTTATGAACTTACCTCTCAAAGAACCAATACTAATCTAATATGTAAACAAATAAATATATAAGCACTGGTTGTTTAAAACGCTTTGGATGAAATATACAAAGTTTTATGTTTTTATTGGTGCATTTTAATTATATATAATCAAGGCAGTCACTGACATAGTGAGACATGCACATAATTGGTTCCATTTCATTCCCTAGTACCTCTCCTTTCCCTCTCCTCCTGTTTCCCTAATCCTTTTCTTCTACTCTTCCGATCTTCCTTCTATTTATTTACATATTTTTTTGAAGGGTATATTATAATGTTACATAAAAGCAGGATTCATTGTGATATATTCATACATGCATATTGCATAAGATGGTCAATTTTATACCCCATTCTTCCCTTTCCCCTCCCTGCCCCTTGATCTCCTACCCCACTACCTAACCTAGGGATCTCCTGCCTGTTTTCATACACAACGTCTCCTAGCAACATCACACCCACAGACCTGACCTGATATGGAAGTTAATCTTCACTGAGGGATGACACCTGAGTTGAGATATAAAGGGAGCTCAGAAATTATGATGGTGAAGGGCTGGGGTTGTGGCTCAGCAGTAGAGTGCTCACCTAGCTCGTGTGAGGCCCTGGGTTCGATCCTCAGCACCACATAAAAATAAATAAAGATGATATTGTATCTAACTAATAAATAAATATTAAAAAAAAAAGAAATTATGATGGTGAAGTCTAGAGTTGGAGGTGGCTTTTCAGGCAAAGAAAAGAACACATGTGGACGGAGGTGGCTCATTCAAGGAACTGGCTGAAGATCACAGTGGCCCCAGCACAAAGACCAAAGGAAATACAATGATGACACAGCACAAGTAGCAGATCCTCGGAGTCCTGTTAGGAAGTCTGAGCTTACTGCGGGGGTGTACTCAAGGGTAGAGGCCTGTCTAGTATATGCTAGGCCCTGCGTGCAATCGCCAGCACATAACAAAAAAAACAGTCTTTTATGACAAGGACCTTGCGCATTCAGGGAAGTGCCTGACCACGGGGCAGGGGCAACAGGAGCAGGCTGGCCTTTGGAGGAACCTCGTTCTGGTTGGTGGGTGGGGAACGGGTGGGGACACCGTAAGGGTGGAAGTCCCGCTGGAGGACTATAGCTGTCCTGGCCACAGGTGAGGAGCAAGGGAAGGACAAGGCAGGGAAGGCAGATGCTCAAGACGTGGGAGGAGCTTAGACATGATGGGCGGGGCTAAGAGATGATGGGCGGGGCTTAGAGAGGTTGCGAAGAGGCTGCAGAAATGAGGCAGGCAGGGCATTCAGGAGGAGTCCGCTCACCTCCCTAGAGGAATGCGCGCTCTTCAGTGAGATACCGTCTCTGAGAAGCATCAGGTTTGGGGCAGGGTGAGTGATGAGGCCCCAAGAGTTGCTGGTTTTCAGCTTCCCGCGAGGCTCCTGGGTGTAACCTGGGATAAGGAGTCAGAGAAAGCTCTGGGCCGAAAGTACCACGATGTGCGTAACCCACACTTTAAGGTTGAAGCCTGCGGAGTCAAGAATGAGAAGATCATGGGTCTCGAGATCCATCCAGCAGCAGCCCCAGGGCAGGAGACCCACGTGCAGCCACAGGCAATGGAAACTTGTAAAGCATCAGGAACAAGGAAGAAAAGGAAGGGAAAGGATGGGGGAGGGGTAAGAGAGCACAGAATATTGATGTCAAAGCCCAGTTCTGAACATGGTCATCTGAACACCGTCTCATCCTTCCAACCTGTTTCCCCATCTATAAAACAGGACCACAGTGGCCCAGATCTCACACATGTACTGTGAGGATTCAACGATGTCATTTGACACAGGGCAAACCTTCACAACCTTCCTGTGCTGCGTAAAATCGTCATATCGCTTATGAGAGCACAGAATGAACGAGTCCTTTAATGCACGAATGATACCAGTCGCCCTCCTCACATTCTTCTGAACTCCAAGTTGCAGGAGTGCGTCTAAAGTGGAAGACAGGAGCGTGCCTAGGGTTTTGCACTTCATCGGACAACCCCAGGCCTTCCTTTTGAGCTCTGACTCACTGAAGGAGTAGAAGCAGCGAGGCAAGAGTCAAACGTGGCAAGATTCTTTTTAAATGACACATTAGACGACTGCTGTTATGTTTTTATTCTCCAGGGACGTGAGCGTGCCCCTGAGTCCCCCTCTGTTTCATCTATCAGGAGGGTGTATGACAAGGGCTCCATCTGACCCTTCTCACCCTCATCAGTTTTAAAAGTCGTCGTGACTTTGGAAAGCTCGTCTCTTTCAGAACTCTCCACATGTCATATGCATTTCTACAACAAAACCAAAAGGCGAACACCAGGAGTTATAAGAGACACCAAATGAAGGACCAGTGAACTTGTTTCCAGAAGATTGGGGATAACCCAAAGCTGGCTTCTGCACAGCCAGCAAAAGCAAACAGGGACCTGGGGACCTCTCTTTGCAGACCCTGGGTCCGTCAGGCCAACCAGCCTTCTCTTTATGTGAGCATTCATTTTAATTAGCATCAGAGACCTGCATGGATTAAAAGTGAAATGGTCACGGTGTGACTGAAGACCAGGTGTCCCCATGCTTTATTGGGTGTTCTATCCACTTCATAACTGAAAGTGTAATGACAAACGCCAGGGTTCTTATTCAAAAGCAAACTTAAAAAAAAAAAATGACTCATGGCACTATTGCATCTTTGGATAGGAATAAGTAGAGTCTTAGGATCAATTCAAGGAATTCCTCTTTCTCTTTGCTTGGTCCTCAGAGAGCACAAGAGAAGCTTGTCGTAAAAGCCACATTCTAAAAACTGATTCGAGGATTAACTCCAAAGGTGTCCCCAGCCAACAACCGTGAGTTGGCTTTGCCCTGGAAAAAGCCACAGAACCAGGGATACTGTCTGAAATCTCATAGATAACAAAGGGAAAATCCTAATGAATGACATCATAGTTAGCAGCACTCGGAAAGCTCACTACAAAGATGTCACACACCATCATTCCCACCACCTTCATTCCACATGTTAACACTGTGAAATAAGAAGGTATGTGCAACTAGTATGTAGCATCTTGGAAACACAATGATCACGAGAAGAATAAACAGCAACTAGAATGAATTGCATGTTTACTAGGAATAGGTTACTCATTTGAAGGCATGAACCATTTGATACTCAAAGTAATCTTATGTTGTTCAACCCATTTTACAGAGAAAGAAACTGAGGTACTAAGAGGTCATTTACCCAAGGCCATTTACCCAAGGCTACTTGCCTGGTAAATGCTGAAGCTGAGGTTAAGAAAAAGGCTTATCTGACCCCAGTGGAAGCTTTCTTCACCTGAACCAAGTAGTCAAGGAAGATTAAATTGTTACATAGGTAGATTAATTAATTAATTAGGTAGATTAATTAATTCATGTAATTGATTAATTAATTAATTAATCAATTAATCAATTACATGAGTTCTTTAGATATCATTACCATAGTTGTTCTAAAGAAACAAGGAAAACAATATAAATAGAAAAATCAGAATGTTATTACATTTTTTGGAAACGGAGTCCAAATTTTTATGCCAACCTTAATTTTTTTGTGTGTGTAAGGGGGTTGATTCTGTTTGGCCAAATCTGGGTACCACCTAACCTTTTTTACTTATATTTCTGGAACTCGATACTCTTCACAAATTAAAATATTTTTTATCTGATGTGAAATTTTTAAAAATTCCGTGTGCCCCCAAGAACCTTCTGGAGTGCCAGAAATGGAATGCGTTTCCCACGTTGGAGCCTCAGGTCAGAATGGCGGGGAATGCGGGGAGGAAGACAAAAGAAAGCAAACAATGGCTGGAGACCGAGTGGCTCCAACAACTTCATCTCCAACATCTTTTTTCAGCTTCCCAAGGAATCCCCATCGGGCAAGACGGGGTTGCCTGGAAACTCTGGTGTGTTTAACCTGACCACCTGCCATCGTGTGACATATGGAAGGGCCGGTCCGCAGTACGAAGGACCTACCGGAGTCATGTCCCCCAGGTCTGCACGCTGCATGCCCTGTGAGGTCTGAATCCAAAATCAGGCAGCTGCCCAGAGGAAGGAAAAGCACCAAACCAGTGAAACATGAAATGCTATCAATTCAACAACAAATTTAAGAACATGTAACACTGTGTACAGGGGAAAAAAAAAAAAAAATGCAGCAAAGCACAAATGTTTAGTTTCAAAACAACCAGAACCATCTCTCCAGTCATGTTCCTGTGTCTTCTCTGTGGTCCAATTAATCAAATCAGAATGGATCTCAAACTGGTAGCCACTTGCCAAGCCTGCAAAAAAAAAAAAAAAGTCTGATTCTGATTATTAAATAAACAACTCCCAAAAATGGAAGCATTATGGAAAAAGACAAACGTTTTCTTCTCCTAAATCTCAGTGTTTTGAACTTCTCCCACGAGTTGGTGGTAGAGAAAGACTAAACTAGCTAGAAATTGAGGAGCTATCATTTTATTCCAGACACCAAATATCAGAATGTCTAAATTGCCTCTTGAAAATGTAGGGAGTGCTGTTTGCTTTGTCTTCCATTTTAAAACAAAGAATTCTGACACATTCTTGGATGGTAGAGGTTTTCTTTGTATATTTCTGTACAGAGTTTCCTAAGATGTGTTTCCCCTTAAATGTGACTGCTCTGATGGCCAATATTAATTAATTCAGTTTTGGTTTCATAGTCTTTTGCGTACATCTTTTGTGCCACAGTTCAGAAGGTTGGTTTGTACAGCCTCAAGGCAACCTGGAATTAGGATAAGAACAAGCTGTTTTAGAAAGCAGGGTCAGAACCCTGAGTGCCACCTACTGCCTGTGGGAGAATGTCCCAGTCACTTGCTGATCTCTAGATCCACCTTCCATAAAGCAACAGTGTTGAGCGTATTTATGAGAGAGTATGAAATTAAAAGATCTGCAGGTAGTTCTCAGCCAGGCTCTTTTTGGGGACCGTGTGGATGGGTGCAGGTGTCTGCCACACACGGAGTGGAGGAGGACTCTCGTTTTCCCATAAATTGAACGGGGTGTGTTAAGATGAACATACCTCAGGCACAACTGTCAAAGACTTAAGTGACGTTTAGGAATAAAATCAGCACAGGGACAAAAAAAAAGGTATGCAGGAAAGGCATTGTCTCCGGAACCAAGTGAAACCAAATGACACTTGGCACCTGTGTCCTTGTCCTCGGGAAACACTGGCATCCTGCCAGAGGCTGCCTGGACTCAAAGGTGAGCTATGCAGGAAAGTATAGGAATGGCAGCTCCTCAGAAACCCTGTGCTGTCCGAGACTCCTTCACTGAACAGCCTGGAATCCTTGCCCTGAAGCATTTTGAAAAGAAGAAGAAAGAAACACAAGGCCCTGACAAATGTCTCCAGTCATTCGTTTTATCCTAACTGTCGTCACAACACTGTCACCATCAGTCATTAACAGATACTGTCGTGCTGCTCTGGTCTTGGGGGTGCTCAGTATTTCTTTAATAAACATTTCCCTTGGTGTTTGCACAACCACTTGATGCAGGTGCCATTCTCACCCGCACTTTGCACGCGGAAGAGTGATGTTAGAGGGTCATCATGTAGCTCACCTACGGCCACAGGGTTAGCGAGTTGTAATGCTGAGAACTTAATCCCAGCAATCTGGAAGGTTAGGTGAGATTAAAGAGCAGAAACTCAAGAACATTGAAGCAGTGAATTTGACAGACAAGCTCATTCAGAATACATGCAATTCTTGTGGGCTTGGCTCACAGGCTCAGAATTTTTACTGTTGCAAGGGATGGTACAGGACTTTGAGTTCCACCTTTCCGTCGATAGTAGAGGGAGTAAAGACTCTTTTCCACATATCCATGACAGATGATGTCTATTCTCTGCTCCCACAGTCCCAGTAAAAGAAATCCAAGATGTGTGTATGCAGATCTTTGCACTGTGGGACGACTACTCATTACAATTTCTTCCTTCAATTAAGCAGAAATGGGTTGAGCCATGAAATTACACCAAAGACCTTAGTTAGTGTATCTGGAGACCCAGGGAAGTCTGGGTCCTCTTCCCTGTGATAATGTCTGACATAGATGAAGACAATACTTGCATCCATAATGTGCTTGATGGTTTCTCTGGAAGAGAAAGTAGAGCTCGGGTCCCAGGAGGGCTTACAGTCCTGGGCTCAACCCTCATTTGACCCTATGTTGGCCGTTGATCTTTGAGCAAGTTCCTCAAGCCTCAGTCTCCTCATCTACTTCCTGATGAGTCCGGTACCCAGGCCACTGTGCTCATGAGAACAAATACCAAGTTTCCAGATCGCAGAGTGCCAGGCACAGAATAAATACCTACTCCATGTCGGCTGCTTTTTTCTCTTTCGTGGTTTTATTGAGCTTCCTCTGATGCTTTTGAACCTCTTGAAATATGGGAGTCCCTTTCAGACACAGAACTGCAGACATAGACCAAGCAAGGTGGGACTGTCAGGCCCTGTGACACATGGGGCCCTCTGATTTTTAAAAAGCCGTCCCTATCATTCCCATGGTCCCCATTCCTCCTGAAAATGGATAAAAAAAATATATCAGATCTCTTTTCTCTGCTTCTTAACCAAGTCCCATGTCTCCTGTGCTAAAATTATTCAACTATTTGCTCCCAAAGTCAAACTAGTTTCCCTCCCTATTGAAGTCTGTTTTCTGGTTTCTCGGTCCCTTGTTCCTGCCTGTTGAGCATTCTGTCCTCTGTGCATTAACAATCCCTCCCCACTTCTGTAGCAGCTGAAAATGTGATAAGCATACTTTTAACCCAAGAAACTGATAAAAAAAAAAAAAAAAAAAAACCACAAACTGGAGAGGGCCGGAGAGCGATCCCCATGTCACCCGGCTGCAGACCTCCCACCGCGCCAACAAGGGGTCATTCATCAGCCCTGACTGCCTGGAGCCCCTCAGCTGTTTATGACTGTGTCCAGCGGTCCTGCCACCCAGTCCCCACGTCATGCTCCTGCACACACGGCCTTCGGGGAAACCATCCAATGCTGCTCAGAAAGCAAGAAGCATTTGGCCCCTGGTCTACCTGCCTCCCAGTAAAAGCCACGGTTGTAGGATATACAGCCCTGACGTGAAAACACACACCACGTGAGAATCCATACTCATTTACAATCAGGGCAGTGTGCAACGCCAGGTTCCCTAGAGATCACCTTCCTTAGAAAGATCAAGTCACCTCTTTGGTTACCCAAGGTGACTTAAGTAGGTATCCTCCAGTGAAGGACACTGGGGTGTCCCTACTCGAGGCAGCCCCCCTGTTCTCCCGTAAAATTCAAAGGCCACAGAAAATTACTCTAATGAATCGTCAGGCCCCAGAATTGTTTCCAAAAGCCCCGAAGGAAGGGTTCTGCTTTTATGCACTCGATCATTATCTTCTTCCCTTTCCAGGGTAGCAGTTTCTGCTCTTCAAAAATCTATTTGATCTTCTCTTCACCGTGAGAAGACAGAGCACGGGGCTTCGTCCTAGCTTAGGAGGGGAAGAGAAAGAGGCGGGGCGTGACAGTCCCTCACTCTTAGAGGTCCTCACTCTTTGTACCCTTCTTCCTTATATCATTTCTAATTTATTTACTATATTCTAAATGGAAAAAAAATATTTTAGGAACTTTTCTTTAATCATGACATGTCTACCATCTTCTTTAAAGACAGTAACCTCAGAATAACAACTAAAAACTCACCTTTTGTTTATATGTGCTCCTATATTAGCTACTTAAAATTGTGGACATTTCTATTTTACAAGTAGGCTGGAAATATTTCCTAAGTTGTGCTACTGCATATTCTACTGATGAGATTTAAGCTAAGTTGGATATATCAGCTGAGTGGATCATAACATAGACCTGAAAACATTGAAAGTCTAATAAATATGACTTTTAGTTTTTGTATAAATAGGAGAAAAATTTTAACTGTATTGGTAAATGATTGCTTTTTATGTATTTGAATTATCTCCTGCACATTAGTTTCCCTAGACAGAGAACCAGGTCAAAGTGAATGAATA